TCAGCTTTTGTGTTCACGCTCCAAGAGACAGTCCGGAGTCCAAGGCTACTTTTGTATCGCAGCCAGTTAATAAAGAAGTTGGCACACGCAAATAATAAAGTTTCAACATTAATTTCGAATCGTGCAACATCAGTGAAAGTAACAAGAAAATAAAGTGTGGAAGTTCAAGCGGTTTTTCCCACCTGATAAAAGTACACGAATGTCTGGACACCATTACTTCTCACAATGAAACCTTTCATCCATCGACGTTTGAACTAAGTCAAGCAGAGCCAATACTCTCAAAAGATGGTAATCACTGACCTTACGAAAAATCAAGTGGAACAGATGGTCATCTGCCTCCCCAGGAGGACTCCCATACAAAAGTGATGTGGGTGCTCGTCGTTTGCAGATTTTGGTCTCACTTCGGTTGTTTGGAACGGAAAGTAACTAAATATGCTCATTCAGGTATCGCTTAGGGCTGTGCATAAAGAAATTTGCAAAAAATAAAGCCGCTCCCAAAAATCTCCTTTAAAGGTCAGTTTAAGCTTGAGCTACACCCACATTGTTTTCCCTTAGGGGTTTAAATTAATTTTCAGACGAACAGCCCCTTCACTTTTATATGGGAGTCCTCCCGGGGATTACCCACAAATATCGGCATAATTATAAACTCGGACGATTTTGGCGGCCACCTCGTTCTTCGCATAGAGGACCAAGAAAGGAATATTAGGACCAAGGACAGGCATGTAATTGGATTGGAGTTTGCGAAGATCGTATACCATCTATTCTAAAGGATGGGATCACGTACGTATAAAATCGTAAAATCATTTCTAATATCCTTATCACTAGTTCCTTTATCTGTGATAAGATAACGACAAAAGGGCCAATGGGTATTGTCGTAATCGTAATTTCAAGTTCAGACGATGATAAAATCAGTAGTCCACTCAATTTTTTTTATTTAGAAATATGCGGGAAGTGAAGATCCAAACATAATGAAGTTATGGAGAAAGCAGGAAGTGGCTTTAATTCAAATATCATGATATTAATCACTGTTGCACTATGGCATAAAGTTACACAGTCAGCTGATGCACTTGCACGTTTGATATCATTTATGAGCTGATGGATTTGAATATCCCAAGATACACACGTGAAACAGAAAGTGATAAGCGCATCCTTTGCATATGTAAACCTTGTGGAGTCGAAGTTAAATTGTCAAAATCGTGATTACCTACCGTTAGGCATATTACTGAGAGTACTCATGACATTGTTTGGTACCGTGGAGAATTCGCCAACATAATTTTCTATTGAAGCCCAACGTGGACAAAAACCTCTGAATTCGGAAAATCAATAGAGAAGAAAACTGACGCGAAGTCTGAATCTGGCCTTGTGGAAGGTTTCCCCAGCATGAGTAATTCTCCAGGTCGAGACCCCTACACTGTTTTTACCGTTCTTTTCTCGTCTCACGTCTTGTTAGCGGTTATTACCCTGTTCTTACAGACGCTTGCATTCTGTCACGTTAATGATGTAAAAATTCATACATCTGAACAACAGCTGAAGGATCTAGGATCACATTTTTAAAAATCGGCCTTTGGACCCTTCGTGTGGATCCAAATTCATATTGATATCGATTTTACTAAATTAGGCGCCACAGCGTTTATCATTTCGTTTTTGCGACTGTGCTGCGGCGCTCATTTGATACACCAGCCTACCGCGGACAATGTTGTTGAGCCACTCAAAGAGGATCTTATTGCTTTTATGTCTCAGCATACCGAGATGATAAGACAAAGAATAT